CATCCAGTATGTAAAATCATATATAAGGAATTAGTATCAACAGAGAAGTTGATGTAAAACTACATCATGGGGATGGCAGGGTAGATGGTACCATGCCACCTTGCGTCTGGTCACAGACCGACCTATCGATTTGCATGATAGTATATGATGGAATCTGGCACATTATAAGGAGAAAACACTTTATATATAAAATTAAATACTAAAAACTTGTTACCAAACATTGTATATAAAAAAGCATAACTTAATTCCTTATAGTAAACAAAAATTTATTTTGTAATAGAATCAGATTATTTAACATATTAAGAATGGTATTATTTACCTAATAAACGTCACAGAAAATAGTCTTAAGCAAAGTCATGATTGCTTGGATGTTAATTGATCTGACCCAGTTAATAAATACTCTAGTACTTAATGAAAAAAGGCATATTAAACCAAGAAAATTATGAAATGCATTTTATGCATTATGGGTATCTGGAAGTGTTTTCATATCCTCCAAGCGACCATCAAACATGCTCCATTTTCCATCTATGGTTGCTTTTGAAATAGCATGATTCTTTTCTTTAGATGTTAATGGCAATGGTGGCGCCAGATGTTTGCCAATAAGGAGTCCGATGTGTCTGATGCAGGGGTCCGAACCAAAGCGACGACAAAGCGTCGCTCGATAGCCCGAAACAAAAAAAAATCTCTGTTAGGGTTCTTGAAGGGAGTTTTTATGGCTTAATTTAACCCTAAATGTGTTTTTAGACCACAATATTAGGGATTGGCAATCAAGATAGCGTTATTTGGATTGGAAAATTATTATTTAAAAAAATTTTTGGTCCGACGACCTATTCGTTTGTCGAAAGACAGGGGGTCCAGCCCTTCCAACAAAGAAAATTCCCCCACCCCGCTGACGCCTCCGCTGGTTAATGGCATAGAAAATATACAGTATTTAAATGTTGAAATCAAGATCTATACTGAGTGATAAACTACAGCTTTATGTATTTGAAAGATTTTACCCACTCAGCTTCCAACTACTTAGTCACATGGTTTAATATACCCAATTTGGTGGTTGTTGAGAACTCGATTATGAAGCAAATCATTGTTATTTTCAAATAAACCACTATATGTCCTTAGAACCTTTCCCAAGCCCATGTCTTTTGTCATTTTAATTTTGTTTATTGAATATAACCAACTTTACAGTAAAAAGATTGCTTAAAGATTATTGTAATATCATTGGTCACAGACCGACAAGTCGGTCTGTGACTAATTTGGTCACAGACCGACTAAAATTAATGTAATAAAAATATGAATAAATAAGTCCAAAAATTTAAATAATCTTGTCAGTGAATGTTAGCCTAATAGCTTCAATAGATTTATGAATTTCACAATTGTTGAAAGCTGCATGACTTAATAAACCTAAAAAATGTTGTTTTTTTGGGTCACAGACCGACAAAAATATTAAGAAATATTTTTGCCCCGCCTTAATATTTTGTTGTAAATGAATATTACTTTTTGTCACAAAAACTAATAAAATAAGTTAAGTTCTCCAATTTAAAATAAAAATGACTGGCATAAATGGTAGTTTGTTAGTTTCTAGAGACTTTGAAAAAACATGACATTTTCATATTTTTTTAATATTTTCAAAATTATGTAATTCAAATTCCTATATATTTTTATACATCCACACAAAAAAAGTTTCATCAATGAATCCTAAAAATTCATTTTTTAAGCTTTAGTTTGATATAAAACTTGTTTACATTCCTCAAAGTTGAAAATTTGCTAAATCTGAAAAAAAGTCATGGTATTCAAATTACGGATTTAGCAGAAACTTACCCTCTTTATATAAACATTCTAAACTCGCACATATATTAAAAATTTTAGGTCGACTGGCACGTTCTCTCTCCCAACATTTTTCCATTAGTCTCTTCAGATCAGTTGGACAGTTTTTTGGAATTTCTAAGTGATTTCCACTCTGAACAGCATTGGAAATTTCGCGGTCACTAAGTCTATCCCATGGCTTATTGCATGTAAGCAACTCCCAAATGACGACTCCTAAAGAATAAACGTCTGAATACTTTTTACCAAATGTCGGATCACTGATGACTTCTGGTGCTCTCCATGGCATTGATGATCCATGCCAGGTTGTAATGATTGCGTAAGAGGTATGTTCAGGCTTTGTGAGGCCAAAATTACTTAATTTCAGAGTGCAATTTGTCACATCGACTGAGCTAAGAAGATAGTTGTAAGATTGAATATTTTTGTGAGTAATGCCGTTTTCATGAAGGTATTTAAGACCTCTTGCACACTGCCCTGCCCAATCCAAACATTGCCACAGGGGGAAAGGTGTCCTCTCTTCCCTATTTTTGGCTAGGTGCTCGTAAAGATTTCCTCCAGCTAGAAATTCCATGATAATAGCGTGTGTAAAATTTGCTTTGACGGCCCCAATAAATCTGACAACATTCTCATGTGACAGAGAAACAAGTTTTTGAATTTCTTTTTCTTTAAATTGGTGTACGTTCTTAACAGCTACCGGGGTCGAGCCTCGCCTGGCTCTACACACAGAACTTCTACGCATAGACGTAGGCATAGGCCTATCAGTATCAGTAAGATCAGTAGTTGAACTGGAAGTGGTGCTTGGCCTAGTAGTTGTTGGACTTCCTGGATTTCGGTTTGCGTATTGCTCAGTTGACACTTCGGCAAAACGTTGATTATCATCAAATATTAATTCGCTAACACTTATAAACAGCTCACAATCTGCAGAGTCTGTTTCGACTGGATCGGACATCATTATGTCATACAGTATGTGGAATAAATTTATAGAACCAACCTATCGACAGCGCACATATCCATATCAATCCTCTTCCTTGTTCACAAATTCTCGACCTTTGACATGTTAGCATTACACAATTGGGGATTTCCCGTACTCACTGACGCATCTCAATGCCAGGCTTAGAATGTATTTGCTGAGGTCAACCACAAAATAAATCTCCAAGCTGAGGCCTACATTAACGTTGACGAATTTGCCGGCGTAAGATTTTTCTTTAAAACTCTTCATTTTTTAGGTACCGGGGGGGGGGGGAAATATGTTACAAATCTGCAATTTTTCTTGACAAATTATATATATTTTACAGCCTAGGCTGGCAGTGGCATGACGTGTGTCGATCGTGGCAGTGTCGTGTTGTTATTGCAGTGATGGCGCCGGACCTGCCCGACGGAGGGGCTAAAGAATCGAGTCTCACTAATTGGCTGGGGGGGGGGGGTCCAGGTCCTGGAAGCCACGGATGTTTGACGAATTATGTTATGGCGAATTTTTATTACTTATTTGATAGGCATCGAGCTACTAATAACTTCATATGTAGGCTATGTTTTCTAATGTCGAAATATACTACATTTGGAACTTTTGCATGAAATCTGTCAACCACGCTGTCAAGGTTGAGGTTGCTTCCCCTATCACGATGTAAAGCAACATGAGGCTATTTAAACGAGCATTTGTCATAACAGAACGCAAATTATTTTTAATTAGTCTCAATGAACTATTATTATTATTATTATTATTATTATTATTATTATTATTATTATTATTATTATTATTATTTTTATTATTATTATTATTATTATTATTATTATTATTATTATTATTATTATTGTGATAGAAAGTTAACAAAAATAGTTTAATGAAAGTAAATTTTTTTTTATTTGTTTCTTCCCCGGGCGCGATTTTTTCCCCGTACGAAACATTTTTACATGAAACTCCACTCGGGTCGTCTCGACTGAATCGACCCGAAAATCTCATCAGAATTCAGTTCAAAGGGTCTTCCACAGATAAACGTCTACAAAACAACGTTTTGTAGAGCGTCGCATGTCTAACTTTTGAAAATACATTAATGTTACCATGCTAATACTAAAGGGTCGTTAAAATAACTGAATGAATATAATATTTGATTGAGCTGCACGAGTAATGAAAAGGTGTTATTTAAATTGAGTTACATACTCTGAAAATTTTTATTTTTTAGTTAGGTCAGGGTTTTACATAATTACCTAGACCTACTATTAAAAACATACACTTTCTGGGGAAAACACAGAGACTAAGGAAAAGCGCGTTTCTCATGGCGTTTCTTCATCAAATGAAACAAGGTGACAGTTATTTTCAAACTAAGAGAATAGGCAGTTCTAAAATAATGGATGCCATAAGACCTGCCAAAATGGCAGAGCAACAATGAATGTATAAATGAGGCCTAAGCCTTGTTATTAATATCAGGCATAGTAAACTTGATTACAAGGCTAGACCAAGTTAACAAGTTAACTAGATGTAATGAAGAAATGATTATTTATTATTATTATTATTATTATTATTATTATTATTATTATTATTATTATTATTATTAATTATTATTATGTTACTAAAGCCAGCATGTAGGCCTACCGTAAGGGGACTTAGACAATAGAGGAATTAGAGAGCAATTAAAAAATCGACGTTAAGTGGAAATGACACAAAACATGTTCCCTTGGGCTAGTTATAAGCCTATTAAATAGTATGGTTCTTTATTACAATGTTTAGTCCAAGGTAATTAATGCTGAAATAATAATAATAATAAAAATAATAATAATAATAATAATAATAATAATAATAATAATAATAATTATTATTATTATTATTATTATTATCATTTAAAATTACATTACAAGGATAGTTTGGCCAAGTTCAATAACGGAGTGGAATGGTATATTTTATTTATTTAATAATATTTATCTTATGTAATCTACTTTAATTTCATGCTTCATTTTTTTTTCAAAATTTCAATCAACGTCATGTGAAGCGTGACTGTTGGTGTCAGCCTAGGACCCTAGGCCTAGTTTAAGGAGGGGCCTAGGTAGGACTTAACTGAGTCAGCCTGTAGTTAGGCCTATAGTTTATCTTCTTTCTCTCTAGCCTTTGGTATTACTGTACCTACCTACACTTTATAAAAGGGGGTACTAACTGTTGTTGTAGATATTATACTAAAATTTAATAACATCCAAGAAGGTCACAGTTAGTTACACACCAACATCCCATAAATCCGTAAGATATCATAGGCCTACCGCTCCCCGGGCTGCGATTTTTTCCCCGTACGAAACATTTGCATGAAACTTCACTCGGGCCAGTTCGATACGAGGAACAAGAGCAGACACCTCGCAATGTCGTGACGCTCGAGTTCTACTATCATTCCTCTTCCTATGTTTACCTACGGTAGGTCTATGATATCTTAGGGATTTATGGGATGTACGTGTGTAATTAACTGTGACCTTCTTGGATATTATTAAATGTTAGTATAATATCTACAACAACAAGAGCTAGTACGCCCTTTTATAAAGTGTAGATAGGTACAGTATACTACGGAAGCCCGTTAGTGTCAACAGTGAATACAAATTTCAAATCAGTTAACTGGCGGCCGCCAGATAATTAAGTGACGGCCGCCACTTAATTATCTGGCGGCCGCCACTTAATTATCTGGCGGCCGCCACTTAATTATCTGGCGGCCGCCACATAATTATCTGGCGGCCGCCACTTATTTATCTGGCGGCCGCCACTTATTTATCTGGCGGCCGCCACTTATTTATTGGTACAGTACCAAGGTTGCGGTACAGCATTATCTCGATGTAGAACGGGCCATTAAAGCGCATGATCGTAAATAGGCCTAGCTAGTCATTTTAGCTACAGCTTGTCATAGTTTATAATAGCAGTCATATAGCCATTTTACAAAATATATCTATATCTTTGCTGTAGAACATCAAAAGTCCTACATTTGCTGTTTATATCATTGTGATATTGTCTGTTATAGCTGAGTTAAATATTAAAGGGCATTAAGTGATTAAAAGCATACTAGTAGCTGGTCACCAGCTATACCTTAAATAATGGCAGTCATATAGCACCAATTAAAAAAAATATTAGCAATTACAGGGTTAAGTATTAAATTAAAATTAAGCATTAAATACGGTAGTGTTTAAAAGCATGGTAGCTGGTCACTATCTAGCTATAATATCAATTATATTATAGCACCAATATCACAAAATATAGCAATCACTGATTAAAAGCATGTTAGTAGCTGCCACAATGGTTTAACTGC